GGGAGTGGGGCTCACAAAGTCTATTTTCATCCAGTTGGCCGTGTGAAAGTGGTCCATACAGGCCCAGAATGCTCAGGGCATGTACCCGCCAAACTTCCTGCAGAAGGTCCCAGGTAGCAAGGCGATGTTGGCCTCGGTCTAGGACTGGGCTGGGGACAGCAGGAAGGGGCGTGAGGAGACTCAGGGAACATCAGGCAGGAAGAAAGCTACGAATGGTGGAGACGGCCACTGCAGCCATTGCAGATGGTCTGTGTCCCCGGCGGTGCCGTGTCGGTGCAGGCTGTGCTGTGAGTGCTAGTTTATTACTAAACATTTCTGGGCTTAGTCCAAGGCTTTAAATCAGTCCCTCCCTGGAGACAGACCATGTAATGGCTACTTGCTCATTTAAAACAAGCCCAGAGTCTTACTGGTGGCTCCCTAGCTTCCTCTGTGTCTTTACTCACCCAGGGGCCTGGGGAAGCAGGGACACAGGGCAGCCTTCTCCACCCCACCCCACCCCACCCAGACCACTCCTCAGAAGGCCCACAGAGAACCCTGTTAAAGGAGCGGGGATTCTCCAGGAATTTGAGCAGAACCCTCAGCATGTGAGCGGGGCAGGGGCAGCTGGCAAGGGACCATGGGCTGAGACGCCCTGTGTAAAGGGAAGCCCCACGCGTGTGTGTGCACTTGTGCACGTACGTGCGTTTATCCTGGGGCTGCTGTGCACGCGTCGGCCTGCACGGGGCTGGAGGGCACCCACGGGGAACCTGGCTGTGCTGGAATGTGCGGATGTGGTGTCCAGGCCATGGGTCTGCATGTTAATAGTGCCTGTCTCCAGCACTATTCTCCCATTTTACAGGTGAGGGAACTGAGGCATGGACAGGCCATACAGCTGGTAGGTATGTGGCAGAGGGGGGGTTGATTTTGGCATCAGTGTTGAGCCGTATCCAGGAGGCTGGGCAGGGGCAGGGACGGCAGGACAGGGACAGTGGGGAACCTAGAGGCCTGAGCAAGTGGAGCACAGTCATGAGGACCCTGCCCCTACCAGGAGAGCACGGGAGACACCTGCCCAAAATCGCAGTGACAGTAGGGGTGGGCCGCCACCTGGGCCCAAGAAGGCCCTGCATTTGACTTGGAATGCCCGGTCCCCACACCCTGTTCCCTACCCACCTCCCTCCCCCATGTCCTAATCGCCCACTCTTAGATGCTCTGCTCACCACTTTGCCCATCTCCCGTCTTCCCTTCCATGCTCCTCTTTCTGGCTCGGCCTCCAGGGAACCAGAAGTACATTGAGGCCCAGGCTGGGAGGGGGTGATATGGCTGATGCTGCCCACAGCCCCTGCTGACCTCCCTCGCAGGCCCTGTCCACCATTGCTCACGCTTGCACCAATAGCTTGGTGACACTTGCTAGGGCTGTGCTGATAGCTTGGTGACACTTGCTAGGGCCGTGCTGATAGCTTGGTGACACTTCCTGCTAGGGCAGCCCTTCCACCGTTATCTTGGGCAGATAATGAGTTTTTATAGGGCTGTGTTTGTCTCCGCATCCGATGATAAACCTCAGAGGCCAGAAGCTGGGCCGTGTGCCCAGGAAGGCTCCATGAGCTGGAT